GGCAAAATTTACCATGCAATCCAGTATATAGCAACTGACTTAGCACATCAAATAAAACACACTTTTCTCCGCATCAGAGACAAGAAATGCTATTTTGAGACTTTGTCACATGCCCAGGTACTAGAAGAGGAAATGAACAATGGCACTCAAGACTGGCATGTCTTTTGATGGCATTTCCTAAAAGGAACCAGAGTAGGTAACAGCAAAAATGACTTGGGACACAACAACGTAGGCTGTATGCAAGGGACCAAAGTATCAGAAGTCCATCAGAAGCACTGCTTTTAGACAATACTGGAGAGGCGTAGCATCTTATGCTTGCGCCCAAAGCAGTCTACACAGTCTTGGTTTACTATTTCAAGCTTCAACAACCTCTCTTAGAAAAGCAGTCTGTTTACTCTTACATACAGTACTAAGTTGCAGCATTATTTTATAGCAGGTAGCTATCCAATATCTTAAGCAAATAGTTACAGAAACTGCATATGTTGCAGTAACAGCTGCAGCTCAGAGAACTTCTGTACAACTAAGCCTACCACCTCACCGTACTCATCAGCCAACTGCAGAACAACAAAAATATTGTAATCTCTTGCACAAGTGGAAGAACTGCAATGAGTATTTACTACACCATTGTATGTTGTAAAATATTTGATACATGCAGCAGTTATAGGTATAAATAGCTGTGCCATACAAATAACTTCAACAGAATAGTCCCGCAACATCTATACAAGTGGATATTTGAAGAATTGCTTCCTATATACCCATAAGAAAAACCCTTCCCTGCGCTATTTCACAATTATGATTTCTTAGTAAGGCAGACTTATAAGCTTGTAAAGAAAGTAGGTGCAACTATTAAAATACTCTGTACAACTACAAAATGTGTCATGAGACAAAACTAACATAGCTGACCCTCAGTGACATTATTTTTGCATTCATTTTTAACAGCAGAGCACAAAAATGGGTACACTGAGGTGTCCAGGACCTTCCTGCACTGAGCCTGGGTCATTGCTCTTCCCAGCAGCCAGGCCCTACATGATATACCTACAGGAGCAGGTCCTGTTTGGTACCTCCTCCAATATCCTGTTGCAAACTAGTCCAGAATCTCACCTCTCTAGTGCCTTGACACCTACATAAATATCTTAAATTTTTTAACATGCTAC